CAGGAGCTCTTATAACTCTGGGTATTCTTGTTGTCTGAGTGAATGCCTTTTCCCTTTTTGAATCTTGCTAAATTCTTGGCCTCCATGACATCTTGTGGCAGGGAGTCCCACCATCTGATCACACAGGGTGTGAAAATGCACTTCTTCTTTAGTATGAATTTATTCCCCTTTAATTTCTCTGAATTTAGCCTTGTTTTTTATCTTAAGAGATATGAGGCACATCTACATATGACAAGTCTATATACTGTGCAGTAAGTCTTCCCTGGGAGCCCATCTACATGTGCACCCTATTGGAAGTACATCTGCTCCCAATGGGAGCAGCCCAGTACAAGGCTACTCCTGGCCTGCTCTGCCCCCTGTAGCAGTCAGGGGGAGTTCCAGACTCCCCTGGGGTGCTAGCCTGGTGGATGATGTGGGATACAGAGGCTGGTCTCGATGTGCAAAGGGCTAGGAGAGCTCTGCCAACTGCAGTGGGAGGGGTCCCAATGTGCACAGGGTCAGGAGACATCTCCTGATAATCCCTTCCCAGCAGGGGGCTTGCTGCCAGGTGCCCCACAAGTGGGACAGCTGCCGACAAGTCCCTAACTAGCAGGGAAGTAGAGAGCTCCCCAGTTCCAGCAGAAAGTGACCCATCCTGGCACTGATTGGCTCCTAGCAGGAGCTGGGAGCTGAGAGTGCCGGGACTGGGGACAGAGAACACCCCCATCCCCTGCTGGTGTGGCTGACTGGGAACAAATTTGCTGCCAGTCAGCATCTACATGAGTGCTACTATACAGTAACTACTGCACAGTTAATCCACTACCTGTATTTACAGGTACTGGCTAACTGCACAGTAGACTAATTTACTGTGCAGCAAATGCCATGCACGTGTAGATAGTGATACTTTACTGTGCAGTAGATTAGTCTACTGCACCATAAAGTATCTCCTGTAGATGCGCCCATGAAGAACAGCAGCTCCTAATGGGATTCATCCTCAACAGTCATACACTCATTATTTTATAGTTTAATCATTTCCCCTCGTATGCGTCCTATCTACAGTGAACAATCCCATCTTGTCTGCCTGTCTTCATGACAGAAGCAGTAAACTAAACATTTTCAAATGGCAGCAGAAATATAGCCTGTATCACCTGAATATATAGCTTTAACTGTAATATCATCTTTCCTCTCTCAACACAATGGCCATCAAGTTTCAGAGCTACCTGGAATAATGATGTATTTGCTAGTAGCCAGTATCTCAGTTCATTCACTTTTAACTAGTCTTAGAGATGGGAAAACAGAGCTAGACTTGTATGAACCATTCAGTCTCATGCCATATTCTCAGTGCTCCTATATAATTTCAGTATATGTTATTCAGATTAAAATGATAAATACTAGGTTATATGGCTAATTTAAGTTGTCTTTTGCAAAAAAAAAAGTCAATAATGGTCTTTTCTTTAATATGGTTCCAGTGTTATCAGAACAAAGGGTTTCTGTATCAGTCTTGCCCTTTCTCACGTACTAAATACATCAAGGGAGATCCCTTCCTCCTCATTCATTTCTTCTCTATGACACTGGTTCAGAAAGCGATGGCAGGCATAGATATATATTAGGAGAGGGCATGCTTCCCAACCAAAGTGTTGACAGGGGATTAGCACATCCTGTTAGGAGACCTTGTTAAATTCTACCCTGAAACTGGAGCAAAAATTGTAATTATTTCTGTGCCCCCAAAGAACGTTAGTCTACCCTGAATCTGGCTATAGCTATATCCTGCCTGCCAAAGATGATATACCCTTAGGATGCCTAAAAATTCTTCTGAGGAGCAATTTCTATTTCCCTTGGAATGCATCCAGTTGCATTGTGTCAATTATTCTCTAAAAATATTCCCAAAATATAGCTATCTTAAGGCTTTCACATTGAACAAGCTGAATACGCTGCTATGCTAATGGTATTCTGCAAGGCCTCCCCATTCATATGACTCTTGATGCCTGCACAAAACCAGCTGGTTGCTTATAGATGGCAAGGTCACAGGGCAGCAAAGGATAATGTGTTGATGAAAGGAACAAGACACACCCCCATCCTTCTCCTCTCCATTGTGTTATTAAAACACTGCGTTGCCCAGATATGGTCATGCACCACCACAGCAAGCTTTCCTTGTTGTTCATAGGGTATTCATTCCCAACTACCTTTTCTCTATTTGGTGTTGCAATTGTGAGGTCTTTGAAGCAAAAAGGATTCCTTCACTTTGGTTTGGTAAACACTTACTGTATTTTGGGCACTATCACAATAAAAAAAAAACAGACAACAAAAAACAAGGAAAGCTTGCTGCAGTGATGAATGGCCATATCTGGGCAATGTCATGGTTTACTAACACAACGGAAAGGATGTTTTCAAGGACAAAGTATGGACCTTCCCAGTAAAGGGCTCTGAACGTGGGTTTATCAAGTAACCTTGTGCCTTTCCTTAGCTATGCTTTAGGAAACACTTTTTCTGATTGAAAGAGAGAAACATACCCATACCCCCAGCACTCTGCAAAGCTTTCATCACACAGGAAGGCACTGAACTGTCTGAATGTTGTGTCTAACATTCAGTTCCTGAGCAATGCTTTCAGTACTACATTGTGGGGAACCTCAAACAGCTCCTTGAGGCCAAGGATGCATGACCCTCTTGTGGTCTTCCTTAATAAAATGCAAGAAAATGGGATTTATCAGGGGCTAAAGAAGAAATCTTGGGGGAACCCCTTAGAATCCTGATAGTGTATCACTGGCCATAGATGACACAAAAGTGTTGACGGTGGGGGCACAGTTCTGCACTGCAATTGCTGCCTACACTGCTGCTGGGTGCTGGCTCCAGCTGGACTACAGCTCTGCACCCTGTGCCCCATCATCGGCACAGAAATCTGGGGGGCCGTGTGCTCCACCGCATCCCCACCTGTCATTGGCCTCACATTGCCTAAGATAGTGGAGAACACAAGACAAAATAAGAAAAATACTCAGAAGGACATCACCAAACACACACTTATATTCAGCATTTTTGTAGCAGCCCCACAACAGAGGTTGGTGAGTTCAGAAAACTGGGGGGCTAAAAACTGACATGCAAAAGGGATCTCAGCTGACAGTGGGAGGTCAAGGTCATGCTGTACCGGACTTGAAACAGAGTTCACTCAGGCTAATCAAACTCAACATGCCCAGCCTGAAGGAACCTCCCAGGGAGGGGATCTCAAGGACACTGAAGGACTGCTTGCTGCTCTGTCCCCACACTCCTGAAGCCCAAAGGCTCAATACTGGGGTCCTGCTTCCAGAATGCAGTGTGGAAAAACTACTGGAGTGATGCATATGCCAGGGGCTTTCACATTTCCTGCAGTAAGCCCTTTAGGAGGAAGGGGAAAAGGACAGAGGTAAAGAGATGAGAAAAAAAATCACAGAGCAGACAAGTTTTTGTGAAGCAGGAACCTGAAGCACAATTTCCTTAGTGCGCTGGCTGGTCAGAGGAAGGAGTGTGACAAAAATTCAAAATCATCTCAGGGAAATATACTGTCACACAAACCATCTTAAGAAGCTTTTAGCTTTAGCCTTGAAATCATACCAGTGGGAAATCTACTGACCTAAAAATGATCAATAAAGAAATCAGTGCAAACACACACCAGAGGTCAAAACCCCAGGATTACTTCTGTACAGCTGCCCTCTTGGCTTTCTCACCTGGAAACTCGAGGGGTGCGCAAAAGCAGATTATTCCAAAAGTCAAGTGTGGCAAGCACCTGAAGCCAAGCTCTTTGCTTGGGTTTCCATCACTAGCATCTTGCCTACCTTATTATAACTTCATGCCCATGTTCAGGAAGTTTGGATTCCACCTTTGCCCAGATATCCAGGACATGCTTCCATTCCTGATCACTGAGCTGCATAATTTCTGCAAAAGGGAGAGAGGAGGTGAACCTGTTTTCCCGAGTGATACAAACAGCCGTTTGTCCTTTCCCTCAAGTGTGGCTAGTGGGGTTTATATCCCTTCCTCACCATCCAGCACCTGTCAATCGTCAGCTGGAGTTGTTTTCTGTCTGGTCTAACCTAATCTGCCTCCCTGCTTCTGGGAAGCTATTTTGGGCCAGGTGCTATTGTGGCTGCCACTGATGGAATAATTTCTGCAGTTCGTATTGGTCTGGCACATATCCCATCATGGACAGAAAGGGCACTGCCCAAGAACAGTGCCAGGACCCTGTGTCTGGGTTGCTGTCCCAGGGACCTGAAAAGCAAAGTCAAACTGTCAAGCTGTAGATTTCAGAACCATCCACTCCACAGGGCTGAGAGAGATTGCAGTCACCTCCAATGATCCTTTCTCTGCGCTTCCTACAGCCCACCAGGGATGGGCAACCACCAGGCCCAGTTACCCCATAAAACTGCTTACAATTGAATTTTAAAAACTCAAATTAAAAAGAAGTCAGTTACAATAGAATTTCCCTTCTTGGGCAGATTTTGTATAAAATCCTAAGTTAGTGTTCGTTTTAATATTTTAGTTGTCATCTCTGACCAGAAAAAGTATTATATTTTAGAAAATTGGCTGGTGCTGAAGAGAAACCTCCTCCAGAACTTGTAGTAATTCTAGATCTAAGTATGTATTTTCCTCCAGCTTCCTCAGAATAAAGAGAAAAACAGGACAATTACTTTATGGCGCTGAACCCTTTCAGCGTTCTATACCAACACTCAGTTCATAAGAATCGCTTTCTCTCCTACATGGAGGGGGGCCTAAAACAGCCCCTTGGGGCCCAAGAATGCTTGAACCCCTGGGGAGTTCCATAATGAAGCATGAGGGGGATCCAGTGAAGTCCAAGCATTAAAATAGTTACAGGAGAAGACCAGTCTAAAACAGAATCATCAGTATTGTGTCTATCTTATTACCTGCATACCACTTTCAGACATGATGGATCAAACTCAGCTATAAATTGGTTGCCAGATGGGGTGGTATAGAATGGGCATATCATTTTGTACTGAACTTCTGTGCCATCAGCTACACTGAATTGTACAGATTGCTATCATAACTTCATTCTTATTTTGGCCACCCACCTTCTGCCCATAGTTAGGACTGGTTGAAATTTGGAATCTGCACATGAAGCTGAAGTTTTGAAATTTCCTAATAAATCAAAATTTGTGTAAAATCTGGTTTCAGGGAATATAATAATCCAAATGACATACATTGACCATATCAAATTGAAACATCCCAATTAGCAAATATGGCAGAAGACCAGCTTGGCTTAGCAGGGAACTCTTCACAACAAGGAACTAAAACACAAAAAGGTCGCTTCCAAAAAATGGAAATTTGGACAAACTACTACAGGGGAGTATAAAACTATTGCTTGGGCATGCAGGGATGAAATCAGGAAGGCCAAAGTGCAACTGAAGTTGCAGCTAGCAAGGGACATGAAGGGTAACACAAAGGGTGTCCACAAGCGTGTCAGCAACAAGAAGATCAGGGAAAACGTGGGTCTCTTATTAAATGGGGAAAGCAACCTATTGACATATAATATGGAAAAAGCTGAAGTACTCAATACCATTTTTGCCTCAGTCTTCATAGGCAAGGTTAGCTCTCAGACTACTGCACCTGGTAGCATAGTCTGGGAGGGAGGTGAACAGCCAACAGTAGCAAAAGAACAGGTTAGGAACTATTTAGAAAAGCTGAATGTGTACAAGTCCATAGGACCAGGTGCAATACACCCAAGGGTGCTGAGGGAGTCGGCCGATGTGATTGCAAAGCCACTAACCATTGTCTTTGAAAACTCGTGGTGATCGGGAGAGGTCCAGGACAATTGGGAAAGGGCATATATAATAATGCCTATCTTGGGTGCTCGACCACCTGGGCAATAGCAATCATCGTCTGCTGGAATTCACCATCCAGCGCAAGGTGGCAAAAGCCTCCAGCAAGGCAGCAGCCTTCAACTTCGGAGGGCGGACATTAACGAAGTGAGAAAACTAGAGGGGGAAGCACTGAGGTCCCAGAGCAGGAGGGAGTTGAGTGTCCAGGAGGAGTGGCCGTTCCTTAAGGAGACGATCCTCCAAGCTCAAAGGGAAGTAATCCCTATACGAGTCAAAGGGGGCAAGAGGGCGCAAAGGCCCCCATGGCTCACCAAAAGCATCCGGGAACGTCTCCAAACAAAAAAGGAGGCGTACACCCATTGGAAGGGAGGGGCCATCACAAGAGCAGCGCTCTTTCCTGCTTATGCAGGGGGTCGGACTCGATGATCTATTGAGGTCCCTTCCGACCCTAACATCTATGAATCTATGAATCTATGAATAAGAGAGGGCTATACCTTGGTAGCTCGGGAATGTAGGGGGGCGGTCAGGAAGGCCAAGGCGGAAATGGAGCTGGGACTAGCGACCCAGATCAAGGACAACAAGATGTCCTTTTTCAAATACATAGGGGGGCAAAAGAAGGTGCCAGGTAACATTGGGCCTCTGCAGGAGATGCTAGGAAATCTGGTCATCTCACCTGACGGTAAAGCTGACATATTCAACAATTTCTTTGCTTCCGTATTTCTGAGGAGGGACCCGGATATCTCCCCCACTGGCCTCCCCGAGGGCCCTGTGGGTGGCACATCCAGGCCTAGGGTTAATGAGGACCTTGTCAGGGAACTTCTGGAGGGACCAGATGTATTTAAATCTGCAGGTCCTGATGATCTCCACCCCAGAGTACTGAAGGAACTAGCAGGGATCATTGCGGGACCTCTGGCACAGCTCTACGAGCACTCATGG